GGGGGCCCACTGGGAAGTGGGGACAGACAGGAGTGCTATTTTCCCAAGCTCTAGGCTCTTTGGCAGAGTAAATTCAAGGCCTAAATGGAAAAAACTAGTAAATCAATTTGCAATTAGTTGACCAGAGGGAGAAAGAGGAAACCCCGAACAAGATTCAGTTACACTAAATAGCACTTGAAACCTGGGATCACCCAACTTAAAAATAAAATTAAAAGTTGTGCATGTGGGAAGGTAAATCCAATCTTCTTCTAATTTCCTAGCAACATTTAAAGAAAATTACCTAGGAAAATTGCTATGGAATTATCCTTCAAGCCTTACTAGGCCATGCAGATCAACTATGTCAATTCTAAAATTACATCATAATTTTTCCAGCTTGTACTTTCATTAAGATGAAACACAAAAGAGTAGCAAATGAGCCTCTGGGTTGGAGTTCTCCATTTATTTTGCATTCACTATGCAGAGAAATGCTAATACGTAGGAAATAGTCGTTTCCCTTGGAGAGTTCAGACCTCATAAAGTTCACATATAATTTCTGTTGTCAGCAAATTAATATAGATTCAAATCTCATGAATATTGTATACTTTATCGGACTACTTTTTAAAAAGTGTATCCATTAACTAAATGGCTTTTAAGTAAGCTTATGATCCTCATAATTAGATCTGTCTAAAATATGTTTATTCTCTTATAGTTTTCTATAAAACCATTTGGAGTCTGTTTTAAGACCAGACTAGGAAACAAAATTAAACCTTAAATGCCACTCTCGATACAATGATATGTATTCTGCTGCTTATAATATCAAAAATTCAAATCCAAATAAATGAATGCCCATGTTATTTTCAGAGTCAGCAAGGCTATGAGTCTGATAAGATTCCAGTTTCCAAATTAGTGACCACCCACCCAACATTTAATGTTAACTATTTAGTGTACTCAATCAAAGTTAAATTTAGGAAATTTTCTAGGGAAAAACCAAATCCTAACGATGTATTTAAAGATCATTCAGAGCAACAATGCAGAGAAAACATGTATACTCACAGCAGAGCTCTCTTACTGTCCCAAACCCAAATTCACCAACCTACTTAGCACATGTGCCTACAGACTCTTTCTTTCTTCTCCATATAACTTTAAAGGTGGCTTCTGCCCCTCTCAAAGGTAAATCCTTTCCTAGTGTTCCAGATTCCATCTTCCTTTTAAGGATTTCTCTCCAGCAATTGTTTCCTTTCTCCCCTATATCATCAATACCCCTCTCTGTACTTACTCGATCATTCCCACTAACATAAAAAACGGGTTAACATTATCCACCTTATATTAAAACACAACAAAACAAACTTCCTGGGCTTCAGCTCCAGCTGTCACTCAATGTCTACACTATCCTTCACTGCAAAAATCATTTAAAAAAACGTTGTTTCTCCTCATTTTCATTTACATATTTTTTTTCTTTTTTCTACCTACTCCAATGAGACATTTGCCCATACCCTTCATTGAAACAGCCCTCACCAATGTAACAGTGACATTTACCTAACCAAAAACAATGTCAAACTTTTTATCATTTGTTATAGGTTGAATTTTGTTCCTCCCCAAAAGATATGTTGAGGATTTAACCCTTGGTACCTATGAATATGACCTTATTTGGAAATAAGATCTTTGCAGATGTCATAAAACTAAGATTCGGCCATACCCAACTGGGGAGGAGGATCCAATATGATTGGTGTTGTTATAAGACCAGAAGACAGAACACAGGTACAGAGGGAGAGTGCACATGATGATGGAGGCACAGATTAGAGTGATAGATCTACAAACCCAAGAACACCAGTGATTTCCAGGAACACCAGAAACTAAGGGAAAGGCATAGAAGAGATTCTCCCATAAATCCTTTAGAGAGAACATGGTTCTGCCAACACCTTAATTTCAGACTTCTGGCCTCCAGAACTATGAAAAAATAAGTTCCTACTGTTTTAAGCCCCCAATTTAGAGTAATTCGTTATGGCGGCCAGGGGAAACGAATGCATCACCTTATTAAACTCTCAGCAGCATTTGACATGGTGAGCATTCTTTCCTTTGAAAGTGTTTCTTCTTCCAGTTTGGAGCATGGCTCCCGCCTGACTTTTCTCCTACTTGCTACTTGTCAGTATCAGTTGCTGGCTCTTCCACACATTGCAGATCTCTAAATGCTGGGTGCCGTAAAGGCCTGTCATAGAACCTCATTCTTTGACCGACATGCTCTACTTAACAAATGTTTGCAAGCCCATGACTTTACATACCACTTAGATATTGGTGTGTTTCAGATTTATATTCTCACCAAGACTTCTCCCCTGAGTTCCAAAGCAACATGTGTAAAAGACAATCCGCGTCTCTACTTGAGTATCTAATAGGTGTCACAAAGTTAATACTGCCAACACAGCACAATTTCATTACTGATGACTGAAATCAGCATTCCTCAGTAGTTCTCCTGTCACAGTGAGTAGCACCAACATTTACCCCTGCTCAAGCCAGAAACTGAGCAGTCGCCCTTCCTTCCTTTGACATTCCACAGCAGACACATCAACGAGTCCTATTTGTTCTGCCTCTGAATCACAGACACGATTCAGTAACTTCACTCCACCTCTGCTAGCATCGACCTGTTGTTGAGTTTCGTCTCTTGTTGGTTGATTACAAAAGCTCCCTATCGTACATCTTTACCTCTCTCGAGACCTGCTTCCCACATCTTGCACTCTGCACAGCAGCAGTGAGATCAGTCTTTCTAAAGTGTAAACAAGATTAGGTCACGTGTCTATTTAAATTTTCCATTGACTGTCTAGTTTTACATAGAAGAATATAAAAATTAAAATTAAAGAATAAAACCAAAATTCCTAAAAATCCCTATGATCTGGCTCCTGATTTCCTCTCTGATCTCACCTGTCTCTATAATCTCTTTCAATAAATACATTCCAGCCATTCTGGTCTTCTTACCATTTTTTGAGTATGTCATGACTGCGATTATCTCAGGAGTTTTTAATAGGCTGTTCCTTTTTCTTGGGATGTCGCTCCCTCTCAAATCCTTTTCTATTTGGGATGTCTCTCCCTTCAAACTCTATGGCTATCTTCTTCATGTCATCGAAGTCCCAACAGATGTCACCTCCTCAAAGTGATTTTCCTGTATACCTTAGCTAAATCAACCAACCACTCTATTCAATCTCTTCCTACTCGATTTTCTCCTTTTATGTTCTCCATAGTACCTATGCAGAGATGAAGTTAATTTTTCCACTTTCATTTTGCTTACTTATTTCCTATCCCACTCTCTAAAATGTAAACTCAACAGGTCTTCAATTCTGTTGTACCCCAGTGCCCCAGGAACGAAAACAACTTCAGGTGTGAGCGGGTGCACAAGAAAATCTATTGAGTGATTGGCAAGTGAATGGGAGCCAGGTAAGAAAATACATAGGTGTATCATTTAGGAGACTATTATAGTAATTTCCTTAAGATATAATGGTAGTTTGAATCAAAGTAAGTGATAGTTGAGATGGTGAAAATTGAAGTAACTTGATTTATATTTTGGAGAAATTAGTGGTTCGTTCGAATGAGAGAGAGTAGGGAGTCTACAGTAACTGACATGCTTCTATCTGGGTAGATGAGTGGATGAGTCTGTCACTCGTTATTAAAGGAAATACCAAGAGGAGAGAAAGACTTAAAAAGATAGTTTTGAGAGGAAGTATACCACTGTGGTTAAAATGTGGGTTTAGGGTCTCTAAAGCTATTTGTGTTTATTGATTTATTGGTTTACTGTCTAATCATGGGCCATTTTTTCAACCTTATGGAATCAGGTTATGGAGTAGATGAAATTTGTTCTTGTCAAGTATATATTTTAAATTTATATGAAAGCTTTCGTAATCCTTATCTTGTTTGATCATTAATGATCATATGTCCCTTCCTGAAAGTCCTTATCATGATTCCCATGACATCCTATGTTTTGCCTTTGTAGCTGCTCTTTCTATTAAGAGTCAGATAAATTTTAAACTTTTCTGTTGTAATTTAGAAGGCCCTCCAGAGTCTAGTCGCTATCCATATTTCCAACTTCACTTCTTCAATCTCACTTGTCCACGTCCCCCAAGAAGCTTTCCCTGATTTCAAGCTCAGTTAATTCTATTAAATTATCTAACTAAAGTATGAATTTTTCTCTCTATGAAGTATATTGAGGATTTTGTCTGCATGTGAAATTTTCAAGAGTCCTGTTGGAAAAATTCCAACTATTTTTCGAAAAAACCTTGGTAAAATAGACCACCTTATATACATATTTTTCTGTTGCTGTTTTAAACTTTTCATCACACTACTTCTGATTATTTTTCTCTAAGACATTTATTACAGTTTGAGCATGAGTATTTGCCTTTCTTAATCCTTGACTTAGAACCTTTTTAAAATCTACAGAAGACTGTTATCACTAATATTATATTAACAAAAGGTAAAAGTAAATATGTATTCCAAATAACATTAAAAACTACATATTTGATTCACCACACATTTTAATAAAGCAAGACCATATTCTCCTTGGATGATCAAAAGTTGTATCTCTCCATTATGTGGTTTCTATCACATTTCCCAAGGTAGGATTACAAGCAAACTACAGGACTCTCTTCTGAAGGCACCACAAAATCAAATCAGGTAGGCACAGGGCAAAACTTGGGGGACAGTGGATGATGTGACTTGGAGGATTGTACTAGGAGGCTGAGCTGAAAAGAAGTAGCAAGTTTCAACATAAGACTAGCACAATGTTGAAGATGACAACCACCATCCCAATGCATTTTCTCTACAATAGTTGTATGAAATCATTTTTTTTTCACCATGTGGCCACTTCTATAGACATAAGTGGGAATAAATTTTTTTCCACATACTTTGTATAATATATACAACAAAGAGCCATATTATATCCCTCATGCATTACTTCTCAGGGAAGAATTAAAACCTATATTATTAATACCAACTGTGCCTTTAACGCATACATTTTTAGCTATTGGATGAAATGTACTCACGCTCACTCTTCCGTTGCGATTGTCTTCTTCTCGCACTGCCAGAGCCTTCAGAAAATTATCTTGCAGGTCTTTACCAGCACTTGTTAATGTCCTATAAAAAGCAGGTCTTAGTTATAGTACATTAGAAAACAAATATATCAAAAACATTCAGGGGCCAAAAACCACACTTCTTTATTCCAAGTGATAATGTCCTTGTAACACAAAAACTATATACACAATCATTATAAATCATATACAATTATTATAACTTACTACATTCCTCAAATTATTATACAGTTATAGAATCTATATTTATGAATAATTAGAATCAAGTCTATAAATATCATACATGCCTTTATCAATACTCAAGCCAGACAGAATTAATTTCATTTGCATGTCTATTTTATTCTTTTTAATCATACCATATAAATTTATTTAAACCTCTCATTACCCATAATAATTTTAGATTATTTATAATTTAAGTATAGTTTATTTATTTAATATAAGAAAATTAAAATACTAGAAACCTAAACCAATTCCTTTACTGACATAGAACATTAATCTTACCTCTATGAGGATATAAAAAAGGCAAAAAGGAAAGAAACTAGGTTGAGTCATTTCTATTAGATAAAAAGAAACTTTAAGAATACAGGGTGTTTGCCTGGCTCAGTTGGTGAAGCATGAGACTCTTGATCTCAGGGTTGTGAGTTCGAGCCCCCATTGGGTATAGAGATGACTTTAAAAAAAATCTTAAAAAAAAAAAAAGAATTCAAAAGAGGCAATATTAAAATAAATAAGTTCTGGAGATGGCTATTATACTGACAATATATTAAAATCATACCGTTCCTCTTTTTAAATTATTATTCAAGTCTTATATACATAGACATATTATTTCTTATAACCTCTATGAGAAAAATAAAAGTGCTTTTGTTATACAAACTGGGAACAGAGAGGGTAAGGGCTAGACCTCCTAAGCTACGTGCAGCAGAGTCAAAAAGTTATATAAATAATCAATTATTACAGCATGCTACATCTGAGAACCGGAAACTTCTCAGCAAGTGGAAATATTGGGCAAGAAAGTTAATGCAGTGTGTGGTAAGGAATTCTTAAATCTTTAACATGCATTACTCTTACTTAACTAGATTTATTTAACAGTCAGTGACCTGAGAAAACTTGCTTAAATAAATATCACAAAAGGAGTCACTTCCTCAAGAAGTGAAGTAGGTCCATTACAAAATATTAGGGTTATAAGTTTTATAAAGGCAAATACTCCATCTTTTCTGTTTACAATTCACTACACTTTCAAAATGGTGTAAAAATTATACGGATGAGTTAATCTCCACCAATCGTGTTTAATCATTAGCTAAAGGCATTTATATAATCCTACATGAATGGGTCTAAATAAATTCTTAATCCTCAACAATTAGACTTCTGGTTTTATGATTTAATTATGTTGTTTGTGTCAGCACACATATTTAAATCACTGGATTAACACTCAAAGAGAATAAGTAACAAAAGAGAAAATATGAAAAACTGTTAAAATAGAAATATTTCCATACGTTATTTTCTTAAGAGGTCACTTACTTTAAAGATGACTAAGACTTTCAGTAAATATTCATGAGTTATTAATCATCTCAGAATTTTAAATGTAAAATTAGGCATTTTCTAATAGGCAAGGTTTGAATAATCATTGTGATGTGTTCTAATAAGCAGTTTCTAGATAAACACTAAATCAAATTTGAGATTAAATCAGTCTTAATAGCAATACTTTTTTATCTATTGGGCAGTCTTCGTACTAGTCTGTATGCTAGGTATTTCGCAAATACTTCCAATTATCTTCAAATCAAACCTTAAGGGAGGCCATGTTTATTTCCACTTTAGAGATGAACTTGATGATAATCAGTCGGCATTCAGTTTTTAACTTAAATATCACCAACCCCAAGGCTTTATTTTACTATTCTGAAGCCACACAATATAGCAAAACATCATTTGATGCCGTAGTACTTTTACAGAAAACAATGAGAACTCACTGGTAAGAGGAAACCTAAAGTAACAGGAATGGGGGTACAGTGAGGTATGCAAGCTTCATCAGGAGGCACCCCTAGGAGTCATCAGAGGCTGGTGGACTTGAAACCTCTGTGGAAAGCTAATCAGCCATAATCATCACTCCAATTCTAGACTAGAATAACTTGTTCAGAGGTAGGTTTGATTTCTAGCCAGTGGAATCTGGCATAGACTATATTTAATAATCCTATAATTTATATTCAATTCATCTGCACTTGTTTGAAAATGTAATTCAACTTCTCTGTGCCTCAATTACTTTGAAATGATGATTTTGTACACTCACTTTGGAAAAATTTAGTGGAGAGTACAGTAAAATGTAATGGATGAGTAAGTTTAATTGTAAAATTTTTACAATATTATCTTGTTAGGAAATAAGCACACATCTATGAAAAAGCAGTTTTCAGAAATAGTTTTACTTTCCATGGATAAGTTTACTGACAAAACTATATGCCTGTATTTTTGTGGTCTCAAATAATATAAATTTTATTTTTTAGGGCAAGAATGGAATATTATTTGCAACCTTGATAAAAATATGATTTTATTTATCATAATGTATGGATTTTTAGACAACTTATTTGAGTATTAAATATGGGAGATATATTTCTACTTTGATGTAGGGCACCTGTTGCTTTGTCTTGTATATTTTCTCCAGGACAATATAATATCTTTTTTGTTTTGTTCATTACATAAATTTGGAGGAAAAAAATCCTGCTTCTTTTCAAATAGTAGTTTATAAATTTCTTTAACATTGGTAAACATTTTCACATTCCTCCTTTCAGTGTATTACTGTAGATTTGTTCTGTATCAATCTGCGTTGCTATAACAAAATGCCATAGATTGGGTATCTTAAACAACAGAAATTTATTTTCTCATGTATCTGGAGGCTGGAAGTCCAAGGACATGGTACCAGCACAGTTTGCTTCTAGTAACCACTCTCTTCTCTTAAGCAACTCACTGGATTTGTACTAGTATCTCACTGTGTTCTGAATATTCATTTTTCTGGTTTCTTTTGTTTTGTTACATATTTTTCTAAATTCTATGTCCTCCAAAATCTACATGTATACCAAAAATTGTATAGAAGGAATAAAAGTAACCAGTGAACCATTTCAAGTCCTTTCCTTTGAGCATTATTTCAACAGGAGAATCTACTTTAATATGTAAGGGATTATTTTTTTTAAAAGATCTAAGAGGGAAAAACAGTGGCGCTAAATCCAATGTGTGGTTTTTTACTCTCCTGTATTTTCTTGTAAACTATTCCTGGTGGCTTTTTTTTCCTTCTTTCCTTCCTCCCTTTCTTTCTTAATTTAACTGAAACAATTTTCCTTAGAGGTTAGGTCGATCAGCATTATATTTAGAAAGACTTATGGTTTAGGAATTTTTACACTACATACTGCGATTTCCATGGAATTTCCAAAAGGTCATCAATTTATATTCTAATCACTTTCAGAAAAGAAAAAGACTTCTTGAGAAATGAGATTCATTTATTGGTAGGGAGGAATGAGAATTAAATTTTCATTAAGATAAATGGCATCACTCCTCCCACCCCGGCCCCTTTTGCATGTGAAAGAGTTTATAAATTACCATATGTACAGTAAAGCTACCAGCATCTCTGGGAAGAAGTTTCAACTGTTGGAAGCACACAGAAGAAAGACGAGAAGCGCTAGGATGCACACGAGACGACTGTTCCTTTTCGTCTTCTATTCTGAAGAAAACCGAAGGGGGAAGAGTCCTGAAATCTGTGCTATCTTCCATCAGTCAGACTCTACTCCCCCCTGGATGGAAAGCTGTGCTTTTCTTTGAGGGGACAAAATGGCCTGCCTTCTGCCCTAAACTCTTCTTTTTTGGTACATCTGGAAAATTTCTAATTAACTCCTAAACACGGTAGGTTAAAATGTTCTCACACCTCAGATTGAAATCAAAACCACATTGAGATACCACCTTATACCAGTTAGAATGGCCAAAATTAACAAGACAGTAAACAACATGTATTGGAGAGGATGTGGAGAAAAGGGAGCCCTCTTACACTGTTGGTGGGAATGCAAGTTGGTGCAACCACTTGGGAAAACAGTGTGGAGATTCCTTAAGAAATTAAAAATAGAGCTTCCCTGTTACCGTGAAATTGCACTACTGGGGATTTACCCCAAAGATACAGATGGAGTGAAAAGAAGGGCCATCTGTACCTCAATGTTCATAGCAGCAATGGCCATAATCACCAAGCTGTAGAAAAAGCCAAGATGCCCTTCAATGGACGAATGGATAAGGAAGAGGTGGTCCATATATACAATGGAGTGTGATGCCTCCATCAGAAAGGATGAATACCCAACTTCTGTATCAACATGGACGGGACTGGAAGAGATTATGCTGAGTGAAGTAAGTCAAGCAGAGAGAGTCAATTATCATATGGTTTCACTTATTTGTGAAGCATAAGGAATAACACGGAGGACATGGGGAGATGGAGAGGAGAAGAGAGTGGGGGAAATTGGAGGGGGAGACGAACCATAAGAGACTGTGGACTCTGAGAAACAAACTGAGGGTTTTGGAGGGGAGGAGGGAAGGGGGATGGGTTAGCCTGGTGGTGGGTATTAAGGAGGGCACGTATTGCATGGAGTACTGAGTATGGTACATAAACAATGAATTTTAGAACACTGAAAAAATAAAATTAAATTTAAAAAAAAAAGATGTTCTCACACTTTAAGGGGGACCAAATAAAAAAAAAATAATAATAATAATGTTGCTTAGAGAGGAAACAAACATTCTTAGTCTCTAAATGTGATTTTATTCTGAAAATACATTCAAATATAACTTTATTTTTACTCTCTTCTGGGAGGCATCTAAATCTTTTACCTGATCTGAAATAGACTTCCTGATCTTCTGGTTGTACAGTGAAAGCCAATGAGAAAGTAGAAAACAAAGAAAGTAAGCTTTTGTTTGATATGTCTGCCTCCAGTCTCTACCTGTGGCAATCAGCCTCATCGCTCCAGAAAACACTGAGCAAAAACGGGCTTTAGAAACGTGTGGGCCTCCAGGCTTAGCATCTTCAGGTCGTAC